GATCTGTATGGGCCCTTTGGCATCTCATAGACTCCTGCCAAGCAAAGCCTATTCATTAAGATGAAGCCAACAGTCCAGTCCTGACAAACACCAGTTCTGGGTCCAGGCTGCGTGGGAGGGGTGGCAGCTTGGAAGATGATGCCAACATTTTTCGAGGGGCCTGGCCTGGCATTAGATGACTCAGTGCATTTCCCAGCACTGAAGCCAGGAGGCAGGGACAGAGCCACAGCCCTTATTTTTTTCCTCTTGGGATAGGACTGTTCCATCTTGGCACCAGGTCCACAGGAAAGCCTTCGTTCATCCCCTTCCTGTCTGTGATCTCATCAGCCAGAGCATAGCTTCAGCCAGGGAAGCAGAGCCCCAGAGCCTGAATGAGCTGTACCAGCCCACTGTCTCAGGCCACAGGCCTTGAAGTAAGGCCTGCTGGGGTTTAAGCCCTAGCTCCTCTGGGTCTGAGTTTACAGTACGTAAAATGGAAGCAATAATTACAGCCTCACAGTCATGTTGTGAGGATTGAGGGAGGGAAAGCATGCAAAGCACTTAGCACAGTGCTCTAGACCAATAAATGGTAGTTATTGCGAATACTCCTCATTCTTGAATAGCAGTATAATAGTTGTTAATAGCGTGTTTTCTGGAGAGTTAGACAATCCAAACTGGGTGGGTTTGAGGCTTGAGACCTCATCTTTCTAGTTGAGAGACTTTGGGAAACTTCTTCTTGATGAGTCTGTTTCCTCATTTAAAAAATGGGAATAAGGGGCCAGGTGTGGTGGCTCGTGCCTATAGTCCCAGCACTTTGGGAGGCCAACGCAGGCGAATCACCTGAGGTCAGGAGTTTGAGACCAACCTGGCCAACATGGAGAAATCCCATCTCTATTAAAAATACAAAATTAGACAGGCATGGTGGTACATGCCTATGAGCCCAGCTACTTGGGAGGCTGAGGCAAGAGAATTGCTTGTACCTTGAGAGCGGAGATTGTGGTGAGCTGAGATCACACCATTGCACTCCAGCCTGGACATCGAGAGTGAAACTCCATCTCAAAAAAAAACCCAAAAAAACAAAAAAACAAAAAATGGGAATAACAGTACCTATTTCATGGGATCATTGTGAGGATGAAATTGTACAGACCAAGCGCATAGCACATTTGCCAGTGCATACAAGAGAACTTTGAAAAGTTCATAGAAAAATGGATTGAAATATAAAAATTAAAAATATAAACTTTATTTCTCAACATAAGCTCCATTAAGGTCAAGACACTTATTTTTTTTGAGACAGAGTCTCGCTCTGTCACCCAGGTTGGAGTGCAATGGTGTGGCATGGTCTTGGCTCAGTGCAACCTCTACCTTCCAGGTCCAAGTGATTCTCATGCCTCAGCCATCTGATGAGTTGGGATTATGGGCACATGCCATTGCATCCAGCTATTTTTTCTGTATTTTTAGTAGAGACAGGGCTTCACCATGTTGGCCAGGCTAGTCTTGAACTCCTGGCCTCCTTAAGTGATCCGCCTGCCTTGGCCTCCCAAAGTGCTGGGATTACAGGTGTGAGCCACTGTGCCCAGCAAGGTCAAGACACTTTTGTAACCAATGATATCTGCCATTTATTTAGTACATTCCTAAAGACCTCAGGATCTGGGGATTTTAAGCATGTTAATGCAGTCTTTTTTACATTATTAACTAAAGAAATACTGGTGCTCTTTAAAGGTTTTTTAAGATTGGGAAACCAAATGTCTTCAGAAGGAGCCAAATTGGGACTGTAAGGTGATGTCTAGTGATTTTCTAGTGAAACTCTTGCAAAATTGCCCTTGTTTGATGAGACAAATGAACAGAAACATTGTCATGGTGGAAAGGTCTCCCTAGTGAAGGCTTCCTGGGCATTTTTCCACTAAAGCTTTGGCTAACCTTCTCAAAACATTCTCATAATAAACAGATGTTATTATTTATTTATTTATTTTTTGAGACAGTCTCTCACTCTGTCACCAGGCTGGAGTGCAGTGGTGTGATCTCAGCTCACTGCAACCTCTGACTCCCTGGTTCAAGTGATTCTCCTGCCTCAGCCTCCTGAGTAGTTGGGATTATAGGCACATGCCACCACACCCAACTAATTTTTGTTTCACCATGTTGGCCAGGATGGTCTCAATCTCCTGACCTCATGATCTGCCTGACCTGGCCTCCCAAAATGCTGGAATTACAGGCATGAGCCACTGCACCTGGCCATAAGCAGATGTTATTATTCTTTAGCCCTCCAGAAAGTCAGTAAGCAAAATGCCTTGAACAATTCAAAAAATGGTTGCCATGATTTTTTCTCTTGACTGGTTCACTTTGCTTTGACTGGACCACTTCCATCTCTTGGTAGCCATTGCTTTGATTGTGCTTTGTCTTCAGGATTGTACTGGTAAAGCCAAGTTTCATTTCTGGTTATGACTCTTCAAAGAAATGCTTCATGATCTTGATCCCACTTGTTTAAAATTTGTGACATTTTGAAAGCTCTGTTCTTGTCAGCAGCTGATCGGGGCACAATGGTTTTGGCACCCATTGAGGGGAAAGCTTGCTCAACTTTAATTTCTGAGTCAGGATTGTGTGGGCTAAATCAGTTGAGATATCTGTGGTGCTGGCTGTTGTTTCTGCTGTTAATCATTGATCCTCTTCAATTAGGGCATGAACAAGATTATTTTTTTCCCTCACAAATTGATGTGGAAGGTATGCTGCTGTGAGCTTCATCTTTAACATTGTCCTGTTTCTTCTCAAAATGGGTTATCTATTTGTAGACTGCTGATTTCTTTTGGGGCAATGTCCTTATAAACTTTTCATAAAGCATTAATGATTTCACCATTTTTCCACCCAGCCTTAACCATAAATTTAATATTTTTATTGCTTCAATTTTGTAGAATACATGTTCTTTTTTTTTTTTTTTTTTTTT